TTCTGTCTGTGAAATACATATTAACTTTAAATGTGTCTAACGAGATAACTAATGTTCTGTCTTTAGATTGTTTTACTGGCTGAAGAACAGTGAAGTTAAACCCTTAAAAACATCAGGTCTAAAACAAACTCACAGACCAGCTTGTTTCAATGCTTGAGCAATTTTAATTTGTGTAAAGACAAGAAAGAACAGTTCACTCTGCAGAATAAGTTTGTGCTAAAAAGCATTCTTTTCATAACACATTCAGTCTGCTCCTATGAAAGGCACAAAGCCTCAGAGACAGTCCAGATCTTCTAAATTCACTTGTCGCTTCGTTCCCTAAGTAGCGTTACAGCGATAGAAATTAAAATAAAGACATGAAATGAGATATAGAGCCTTCGGGGTACATATGAGACTGATGGCATGAAGAGAGATGAGTTTAAAGAACATCTGCCCGTGTTTGTGATTTTTCCAGGTGCTTCATGCCTCTGTGTCAGCCCGGAATTGGAAGGATTTCTTAACACAGACAGATGGAAGGTGGTAGTTACACCTTAAATCATCCCAGCATTTGTCACCTGTGTGTATGATAAAGACATAACTGTTAAGCAGAATGTATAATTTCATGCAGATGGAGAGTAAAACTAAATATTTTGTCTCATTAAAATAATAAATGGAGAGGCTTTTCAGCCTTGGCAGAGGTATGTTCTGAAGAAATGATGGGTTCATTTCTGAAGTGAGCTCACTTATATAGCATTTATTATGAACCATGGTACATTTATCTCTCATGCAAAATAATGTGGTTTATGATTTACCTCCATAATTCATTTGTAAACAGTGCTGATATCCAGTGTTATTTGGCTCTCCCCTGCACCAGTATGAAAAGGCAAAAGGCGTACCATCACTCCAGAACCAGACACCCTCCTAGAAAATTGAAAAGAGTTAGTAAATTAGAGTTAATGAACAACAACATAAACTAAAATAAACAACTTTATACTATTAAGACCATAAACACTTTGTCATAAAAATATTGTCATTACAAAGTATTTTTTACAGCATCAGTCATTAAAGAAACAGCCCCAAGACGGTCTGTTTTTTGTTCAAGTAACAGAAAGTCGGGTGACGTTGTTATAGAGTGACAAAGTTTGCATTGGGAGGAGGTCACATCTCATGGCCTTCCTCATCAAATGGACGTCAAACTATGATTTGAAATGTGACCTTTTGTAACAATAAATGATATGACGGGGCGGCTGTGGCTCAGGAGGTGGAGCGGGTTGCCTGTTAATTGAAAGATCGGCGGTTCAATCCCCAGCTCTTCAGGGTGCGTGTCAAAGAGTCCTTGGGCAAGATACTGAACCCAAAATGGCCCCTGGTAGCTGTTTCACCAGTGTATGAATGTGTGTGAATGGTGAATGTGATGTAGTGTAAAATATATACAAATACAGAGCATTTACACATACCTGTGCAGCGTCAGTGGCTCCAAGCCATGCCTGCGTACTCCCATGAGTACTATCGGATATCAGCCTTTGAATCTGATGATACTCCTCAGCTCCATGTACAGATGCGAGGTTTGCACCTAAGGACTGACAGTTTCTCTGCAGTGGTGACAAACAGACAAATCCATAAAAGTCCATACAAACGGAACAAGCTCAACTTAAAAGAACTCCGCATCGAATCCAAATCATCTTATACCTCAGCTTGAGACCAAGTCATGGCTCTTGGAACGAAGAGGAAACAGCGACCATTTATCTCAGACCAGCGACCAGAACAAACTTGCCACCTCTTGACCAGGTGACTCTTTACTGGGAACAAATAGAGTTTGGTGACTAATGTGGAGTCTCCAGCTAAAATCTCTATATGTAGAATTATTATATCACCATATTAATTACATATATTTTGATTAAATGGCAGTATAACATAACAACATAATATAACATAAAACAGTATAACACACTAACAAAAGTATAATATAATATATATTAATATATAAAAAGCATAATATATATTGTTGGCTTTGTAACATAAATGGAACTGCAGACTGCATAAATTTACCTCGTATAACACGGCTTAACATACCATAACACAACATTTCTTAGCAAAAGACAACATAAGATAACAATAATAGAACAATAATATAACCTAACATAAGTTAAATAAGCATTGGGCACAGCACTTCTATCAGGCAATGCTTTTAATTTACACAACATGTAGGTGAAGTCATCAGCAGAGCATCAGAACAAAGCACTGACCTTGTTTGGCATTTTTGGGGTTTGCCTCTGAAAGAGCTAGAAAGTTTAACACAGCAGTTATCGACCTGGATTGTTATTGTACAACACATTCATCTGTAACACTTTCTGTCCATATAACTGACCAGCAGCTCGAGTCAGAGCCATCATGGCACAAACAAGTGCAGAAACAGTCAAAATCTTCATGATGGAGATGATGCTGAAGATGATGATAACCTTTGAAACAGAGAGACAGACATGTTACTGATACTTCTGTAGGGAACAGACGACCCACGCTGACTATCAGTCCACTAAAGGAAAGTCAAAAGTTTGTAGCTGCAGAATTACCTTCTCTTCTTCCTTCTCAGCGTCTGTAGCTTTTGCTGTCTGATGTGGAAACACGGATAAAGAGAAACACAAGCCCTTAAATACAGATACTTATCTTGTCATTTCTCAAAAACAGGGAACTGAGCACAGACACAAAAACACACATTTTTTTCCCACATAGAATACTCAGGTATCAGAAAGTTATCAATTATGATTATTTAGGAAAAATGGATAGGTCAAGCCTCATAGTGATATACTGCTCTTCTCTTTCTGTAAAGTGCTTTAATGCTGTTGTGTGTGTATTTGCAAATTATATGTAATTTAAAGGCAATCAGCAGCTGTTATGCAGCATGTGGCATGAAATTTTGCAGGAATTTGTCTTTTTAGCAAAATTTTTTAATTCCAATGTCTTTTACTCTCTCATGTCATATATACTGTATGCATTTTGCACCCTCTGGACACCTTCGTGGCTAAAACTGTACACGCCCCAAACTGCTATAAACTCCCTATACAACAATATTTTTAAGTAACAAAACTACCAAACATTTCATAATTTTCATGATTTTAACCATTTCAGTTTAATTATTTGAATTATTAATTCTTTAATACAACCCCCCCCACAAAAAGTGAATTATTTTCCATAAAACAAATAGTAGGTGGGTGGGTCTTTGGTGGTGATTACAGTCTTGGATATGTCAAGGATTTGCAACAAAATTGATTTGATTGCAAGTATTTTTTATGTGGTGTCAAATATTCCCTCTGGACACCTTTGTGGCAAAAATTTACATGCACAATTAAACTGCTATAAAATCATTATACATCAATATTTTTTTCTCTATTCCTCTGTTTGTATCTTTAGCGTAGTTTTGTGACTTCTTTAAACAGACTGCTTTCTCATTTATTGTTGTGACTTTGCGACTCACTGCTAAAGGAAAAAGCACTCGCAGAGATCTTTCAATTCAGCTTATTGAAAGTTTATTGAAAGTTAATGAAATAATCTTCTGTTGTTTACTTTCAACACAAGTATCAAAAAAATATCTTAAAGTTCTTTCCTACAACTTATTTGTTCACTAAACTATTTCACTCCTCTCTCATTCAAATATAAAATAACTCCCAAGCTGTAGTCTTTCCCCGTTTAGGCTAATACTACCCGTGAGGACGACCTAATTAGGATGGGGAGAGATGTGATACAATTTCCCAATACTTTTTATGTAGCAGTTATTTGAAACAAGAAAAAAATAAAATAGATAACCTTGCTTATATAACAACAATTAAAATAATAAGCTACTAATCAGATGACATGTCAGCAGGTGACATTTTATGCAAGGTATCGAAAGAAGTACTCAACTGGTATTGGTATCACTTTAAGGGTACTGGGTTTTGTACTGGTATCATAAAATTTTAAATGATACCCAACCCTAAATGTAATGTAGTTAACATGTTTAGCTCAGCATTGGCCAGCAATGTGAGTTTGCTTTTTGCTTACGACCTCTGAAAGGGTAAAACCGACTGTCGTTCGTTATGAAAATATGAATGAGTATTTGTTTACTTGCCAAACTTGTGGTGGTCGATTAACGTAATCATTTACGTACTGCTGGCTGCCATCAGGTTAATTATTACCGCTGGCTGTTACAGGTTTATTTTTGATCATATAACGTTACTGTTTTATTTAGTTAACGTTACACTGGGTTTGAGAGTCTGGTGGATGTGTTGATTTACAGTAGTTTAAGCTGGCATTAATTGTCACAGTCCAGCTCATGGACTGGGAAAAAACAGGAGACACACGGGTAAACTAAATAACAAAGTGATTTATTAATAGGAAAACAAGCGAAAACAATGAGTGGGAGGAATATGTGAAGTCAGTAGTGTAGGGAGTGGATGAGTGAAAATGTGCTGCATGGATGTTGTGCTGTAAAAGCAAAGACAAGAAACCAAACAAACAACAGAAGCTGTGAGATGGAGGTCCAACCCAAGACTGACTGCTGCTCTGGCTTATTTGCATGGGGTACACCGGGCCCAAGTGTGTTGGATTCTCGAGTTCCCATCTCTGACATACATACACACATACATGTATTTACAATACTGATGTGGTGTGGACTGAGTGGACCCAAACGCAACGCTCAGGATGAACAGGTTTTATTAAGGGAAAGAAGGGGTTGAGGGAGTGGAGGTGAGGGAGAGGCAGATGCCGGGGAAACACGGGCACGGGGAAACGAGGAGATAGACAAGGGAGCCGGGCACTGGGGACTGAGGAAGAGAGGAGACACGGGAGTGCTAACAGGGGAGGTTGGTGGAGGAGTGTGGTGGCAGGCTGACTGGCTAGGCACGGGGAAGAGCCGGGAGGATGCCGTGGAAGAGGTTCGAGGGGAGAAGGCAGGGTGGCGAGCCCAGCTGACACAACGGAAGATGGAGGTGAGGGAACCTGGAGGGAAGACAGACAGACAGGGTTGGGAAAACAGAGTTGGGAAAACAAAGTACAGGGAAACAGAGATGATGCAGATTACTCAGGAGCTTGAGCGATGAAGTGTCACCAGGTTAGGAGCAACGACGATCAATCACTTCGGGGTTGAAGTACTGGCAGAGATGAGGCTGATTGCTGGCAGGTGTGGCAGGCAGAGGAGGTGGCTGACGAGGTGCAGGTGTGGATCGTCAGCTGGGCTCAGGAGCAGAGAGAGAGGGAGAAAACACACAGTAGTTTTTTCCATCCATATCACATCTTAAAGAGTTATGGCCATGTTTGGCTTCTCCATTTTTTGTGTAATCAGTGCTTAAAGTGGGCCGGTACTCACCGGATCTGAAAACTCCAGCAAGGATAAGAAGGCCGAACTATGAACATAAAAGGGTTTGGTCCATCTCCTTCCATCCCTCGCCAAAAAGTGCCTTGCTCCCACAGACTGAAACACCACACAAGGGTTAAGAGAAGTTCACTAATTATTTCATCAGAGTTGTCATTTTATCTTCACCACATCAATTTTCTTGTGTCAGTTTGTCATAACTGTCATGACTGAACGCTGTCTTTGTCTGGTATTTTTCACGCAATAACCTTGATATACAGTGAGGAAAATAAGTATTTGAACACCCTGCTATTTTGCAAGTTCTCCCACTTAAAATCATGGAGGGGTCTGAAATTGGTAGGTGCATGTCCACTGTGAGAGACATAATCTAAAAAAAATAATCCAGAAATCACAATGTATGATTTTTTAACTATTTATTTGTATGATACAGCTGCAAATAAGTATTTGAACACCTGAGAAAATCAATGTTAATATTTGGTACAGTAGCCTTTGTTTGCAATTACAGGAGGTCAAACATTTCCTGTAGTTTTTCACCAGGTTTGCACACACTGCAGGAGGGATTTTGGCCCACTCCTCCACACAGATCTTCTCTAGATCAGTCAGGTTTGTGGGCTGTCGCTGAGAAACACAGAGTTTGAGCTCCCTCCAAAGATTCTCTATTGGGTTTAGGTCTGGAGACTGGCTAGGCCACGCCAGAACCTTGATATGCTTCTTACAGAGCCACTCCTTGGTTATCCTGGCTGTGTGCTTCGGGTCATTGTCATGTTGGAAGACCCAGCCTCACCCATCTTCAATGCTCTAACTGAGGGAAGGAGGTTGTTCCCCAAAATCTCGCAATACATGGCCCCGGTCATCCTCTCCTTAATACAGTGCAGTCGCCCTGTCCCATGTGCAGAAAAACACCCCCAAAGCATGATGCTACCACCCCCATGCTTCACAGTAGGGATGGTGTTCTTGGGATGGTACTCATCATTCTTCTTCCTCCAAACACGGTTAGTGGAATTATGACCAAAAAGTTCTATTTTGGTCTCATCTGACCACATGACTTTCTCCCATGACCCCACGAGGTGAGATCTTGCATGGAGCCCCAGTCCGAGGGAGATTGGCAGTCATGTTTAGCTTCTTCCATTTTCTAATGATTGCTCCAACAGTGGACCTTTTTTCACCAAGCTGCTTGGCAATTTCCCCGTAGCCCTTTCCAGCCTTGTGGAGGTGTACAATTTTGTCTCTAGTGTCTTTGGACAGCTCTTTGGTCTTGGCCATGTTAGTAGTTGGATTCTTACTGATTGGATGGGGTGGACAGGTGTCTTTATGCAGCTAACGACCTCAAACAGGTGCATCTAATTTAGGATAACAAATGGAGTGGAGGTGGACATTTTGAAGGCAGACTAACAGGTCTTTGAGAGTCAGAATTCTAGCTGATAGACAGGTGTTCAAATACTTGCAGCTGTATCATACAAATAAATAGTTAAAAAATCATACATTGTGATTTCTGGATTTTTTTTTTAGATTATGTCTCTCACAGTGGACATGCACCTACGATGACAATTTCAGACCCCTCCATGATTTCTAAGTGGTAGAACTTGCAAAATAGCAGGGTGTTCAAATACTTATTTTCCTCACTGTACATTGAGCCTGGTCCATTTTCCACAAGGGTAAACAGCTCCATTTCTTTATTTAGATCCCCATTAGCTACTGTTATTACAAAATTAATGTATATACATACAAAGATACATACATAAACACAATATATTTACAATACTTCACAGTATTTTATGACACATCACAATAAAAACATCAACACACATCACATAGCATTCATACACACATTGTAAAACGAAATACTGAACAATACTAATGACAAACACTGAGATGAAACAACACAATAAATCAAAACCTATCTAGTACAATAGATAGCTCTACATAAATATATCAGCTCTAAGAGGTCTAAAGTGATCAATAAAGCAACAGACATCTTTTCATTATCAATAGTTCTTTCCATCAATATCACATCTTTAGGAGTCATGGCCATGTTTGGCTTCTACATTTCTTCTGTGACCAGTGCTTAAAATGGGCCGGTATTCACCGGTAGACAGCACTGGCATTAGCTTCTTGGCGTACCGGGACATTTTTCTTGCACAATGGCAGTCCTCGCGAGCTCCCAGTACCCCTTTCTGTCGTCTCTACTGGCAGAGACAGAGTAGGGAGGTGATCGGGTGCTTTTTTTATCCAAGCGTGTACATAAAGTTGCTCATCAAGGTCACTTTTTATGAACCGACCAATCACAGCATGTATGGGGCAGGAAATTAAGATAAAGGTTGACATGTTGCAGCAAACTTTTGAATTGTTGAACATGTGGTTGGTTCAACAAGTACGCTGTGATGAATTTAACTCCATTGTTTATAATAACTACACACTATGAAGCATTAGTTAAGTATTAGTAAATATGGAATTCATCATTTATAAAGCATATTTCATACATTATTATACATAAGTAAGTCATTCATAGACACATTTATAAATGTTTTATTCTTTATTATCTACACAGTATGAAGCAGTGGTTATGTATTACCACATTTTTAATTATCATTTAAAAACCATTGTTCTTACGTTAACACACAGTAGTAAGTCATTTACGAACATATACATGTGTTCTTTATTAAGAAGCTCATCTATAATGTGCTTAATAATTGCATTTTCATACTTTATACATGATCAGTTCACTATTTATAAATGAAGTATTATTTTAATGACAAACCATTTATATGGGAGTTGTTAATGGTTCATAAGATCATTTGGAAAGTTAAAAAAAATTATTACATAGGCTAACTGCCAGTTTTTTTATACTTTCCCAAGAAAGAATATAAACAATCTCAGCATAACTCGTAAATCTACCACTGGCAAAGCCCAAAGGATGGTATTAAGACTACCCGACATTTATCAGACATTTGGCAGCCAAACGGAAAACTCACCTGCATTTGGCGTGTGGCGGGTGCTAATGTCCATCCCTGGCTACCAACAATCTGTTGGTAGACTAGGGCTGGACAATAAAACAATAACAAATAATAATATAATTTTTTTCAATAACAATGTTCAATAAATATTCAATAAATGTTTGATTTTATTCACTTGGATCATACACGAATTAGGACTTAAAGAGGTGGTATTATGCTCATTTTCAGGTTCAAAATCTTAATTAGGGGTTGTACCAGAACAGGTTTACATGGTTTAATTTTCAAAAAACACCATATTTTTCTCATACTGCACATTGCTGCAGTTCCTCTTTTCACCCTGTGTGTTGTACGCTCCGCTCTTGAGCTACAGAGTGATGCATCTTACTTGTACAAAATCTTTGTTGGGAGTTGCACATGCGCAGTTCCCAGGTAAGGACTACTAGCCAATCAGAAGCAGAGAAGGGCGGGTCGTAAGAAACAAGGTAGTGTGATCCAAATCAAAGCCGCTTCAGACTGAGACCGTAACCTAGCAGATGGTATAAGTTATTCACAAGTCCACAACCACAAAAACTGTAAATATAAAACTTTCTGTTGCTGGCCTGGTGCAGCAATGATGATGCAGTGAATAGTGAATATTCTCTCTGACCAATCAGCAGTCTGTCATGTTTTCACGTTACATTTTAGTATCCCTCAGCTCGCTTGGAACCTCGACGGAGGTGATATGAAAAAAAGTACCTGGAAGCAGGTACAGGTACAACATTTCTACAACAGAAAACCAAACAAAGGCGAGTCGAGCCAAAGGGCCTCCACTCAGACTAGCTTGGTTTGAGGGCGTGTCTGACCCCGCTAGCCGCTTGGCAAGCTTTATGATGCGTTTTCATTGTGACGTCACAAGTAAAGGAAGTGAAGGACTGGACTACAAACCAACTGTTTTCAAGCAGTTCAGAGCAGAGCTTTCTGTGGGAGATGGGAACTCCCTTTGGGCTGGACTTTGGGCTATTTCACTTTGCAAACCTGTTACATGCACAAAAAAAGAGATATAACTCAATAAAGGAGAGGGAAAAAGCCAAAAAGCATAATACCACCTCTTTAATTTTTAATAAGATGGTTATTTTGTTGAGGAAAAAGGACTGAAAAAAATCTTTTACTAAATTTTACTCATGCATATGTGTTGAAAAAGATTTTATCATAATTGTTTTGAACGTTCTACCTCAGATTTGTGAAGTGATCCACATCAAGTGTTGACCATAAAGACGAGTTTAAACCACAATTAACCATCAGGTTTCTTCAACTTTCCCTCAGTAGCAAAAATCCTTTAAACTCAAAAGAAATAAAGATTTGATACATATTGTGATAATTATCGATATCGAAAGATATGAAACTTTTTACGTAAAAACATTTTTGGCCATATCGTCCAGCCCTACGGTAGACTATCCAAATAAAGATTTTTTTACATTATATTAACATTAAACGTTTTGTTTCCACACCAACATGTGAATGGGGAGTACTGGCACTTGTTTTATTTCCACTTCAAGCACTGTTTGTAAATAAATACAATCAAAATCTTAATCCTATTGCAGTGTGTTTTATTATTTTTACTTTCAAAAACCATGATTAATGAAATTTATGCCACCACCACTCAAATAATTACCGTTTACTGCAATAAACCAGTTTTACATGGGGGCAATAAAAATAACCCTCAGATGACTGCCTTGTAAAATAAAAGTAAGAACTGTTTTCAAGCATCTGGAGATTTAGTTATGATGTTATTTTGAATAAAGAAAGGAGTATTACACTTAACAGTAATTCAATGTAGCTACCCTGACTCTATGGACAGAGAAGTGCTGTGCAACACATGAATTCAAAACAGAAGTTGAGGATTTATTGCATCAGAACTATCGTGCGATCTCTGCCACATAAATGTCACTGTGTCATGGAAGAAGGTTGTGAGTATTGCATTACATTTACTTATTTGGCAGACGCTTTTATAAGCAACTTACATCTGAAGAACAACATACAAGCATCTACAAAGCATCAAATATAGCAAGAGATCTACATGTGACAATGCATATTAGATAGAGCAGTCATCACATCAATGGGGTAAATACTTAGGGAAAGAAGTAAGAGTTAACAAAAAGTGCAAGAGAATTGTAAGAGGATAGAAGAAGAAGAGCACAGGAAGTGCATGTTAGAGGTTAGAGGTTAGAGGTGTTATAAGAGAAAGTGTTCTCTGAAGAAATGAGTTTTCAAGAGCTTCTTGAAGTTAGAGAGGGACGCCCCTGCTCTGATAGCGTGTGGTAGCTCGTTCCACTATCGTGGTGTCACATATGAGAACAGCCGGGACTGAGATTGCTTTGTGTGTAAGTATGGCAGAGCCAGGCGGCGTTCGTTGGAGGAGCGCAGTTGCCGAGTAGGAACGTAAGCTTGTATTATGGAGTTTAGGCAGATGTGTGCAGACCCAGTAGTCACTCTGTATGCAAGCATTAGTGACTTGAATTTGATTGTGAGGCCACGGGTAGCCAGTGGAGGTCACTGAGTAATGGAGTGACATGAGTTATTTTGGTCTGATCACAAACCAGACACGCTCCTTTGTTCTGCCCCATTTGTAGGAGTTTCACCATACAAGCTAGAAGACCTGCTAGGAGGGCATTGCAGTAGTCGAGGCGAGGGATAACTATGGCCTGTATCAGAAGCTGGGTGGCGTACTGAGTAAGGTAGGACCTGATTTTTCTTATGTTGTGTAGAGACACCCAACAGGCACAACCAAGAGACAGACAGATTGCAGAATCATCAAGTTAAAGGCCTTCTTTTCCTTGTATTTTATACTGTTAAAAAGAAAATTATGAGGAAACTCTAAACCCAGTCAGTGTACCAGTGTGTGTTTTAAATTATTCCTGCTGTTTTAATAATTAACAAATATCAGCTGCATCTTCTACTGTAAACTGTTTAGGTTTTTAGTTTTTTGCTCTTTATCAGACCATTAGACCTACAGCTAATTTAGAATGTTGTGCAAAAGTCAAGTTTTCCCCCATAATTTAAGTCAAAAAGTGAAACTTTCATATATTTTAGGGGGAAAAAATCCAAATCTCAAAATATTAGAATAAAGAATCTATAAGACAGAAATATTGACCTTTTGAAAAGTTGAAAAACTTCTGAAAAAGGTTAATTTTGCAGCGTGGCATGGAGGCAATCAGCCTGTGGACCTGCTGAGGTGTTATGGAAGTCCAGGTTTCTTTGATAGCGGCCTTCAGCTTGTCTGTATTGTTGGTCTGGTGTCTCTCATTTTCCTCTCAACTTAACCCAGATTCTCTTTGGGGTTCAAGTCAGGCGAGTTGGCTGGTCAACCAAGCACAGTAATATCATGGTCAGCAAACCAGTTACTAGACAGTGTGGGCAGGTGCCAAGTCCTGCTGGAAAAGAACATCAGCATCTCCATAAAGCCTGTCAGCAGATGGAAGCATGACGTGCTCTGAAATCTCCTGGTAGACAAAGCATTGACTCTGGACTTGATAAAACACAGTGGACCAACACCAGCAGATGACATGGCACCTCAAATCATCACTGACTGCCAAGCAACTTGGATTCTGTGCCTCTCCACTTGTCCTCCAGACTCTGGGACCCTGACTTCCAAATGAAATGCAGATTTACTTTCATCTGAAAAGAGGACTTTGGACCACTGAGTTGTGGTGGTGGCTTCCTAGTGGTGTAGGAGTGCCACACTTGTAGCTCATATCCTGAACACATCTGTGTGTGGTGGCTCTTGATGCACTGACCCCAGCCTTCAGTCCACTCCTTGTTAAGCTCCCCTGAGTTCATGAATCGACTTTGCCTGACAATCTTTTCAAGTTATGATTTTTTGTGGCTTACCCTCCTTGTGGAGAGTGTCATGAAGTGTCTCCTGGACAATGGCCAAGTTAGAAGTTCCCCATGACTGAACCAGACCTATGCATTGTTAATGAAATTATAAGTAATAATATTTGGAGATATTATATCATAAGAACTTGTTTGGGGCACCACCTGAATTGCTGTCCTCCCAAGGCCTTAAGGACTCCTTGGGTATAGCTAATAATTTCACGTCTTACTAGTGATCAGTTAGTTAGTAATGGTTCAATTATTTTAAATCAGTTAGTTTAAACAATCAGTCAGTCTCAAGTCTAAGGGTGGGTTCTCCGTCCAGTGACCTAGATCTAAACAGTACACACACACAGTTCCTGTGATCTAAGTGAGAATTTATTAGCTAACTAAAGTGAATACAAAGTAAGAGTAAATAATACCAAAGAAATAAAACAATAATAACTAAACAACCAGAATGCAATCAACGAGAGTTAGAACAGATGTAATACGTTTCAATGTGAATTTAGCAGTGAATCTCTTGCAGTAAAGGGGTCCTTAGCCCTGGAGTTAGGTAGGCTACTATTGTCGTTCTCGACTCAGTTGACTAGCCTCCAAACTCTGTCGTTGAGAGTAGGCAAATGAAAGTTAATTCGAACTGAAATAAAAGCTTTAAAAGAATCTGGTTGTTTCTGAATTAAAAGTTGCGTAAATTAACTGGTCCGATTAAAAAAACAAAGCAAAACGGTAAAATCACAAAAGGTTCGCAGGACCTCGTGAATAAGGCTAAGTAAGTTTCTAAAAGACAAAGAAAACTTGAAGTCGCGGAGTTTTTCCGGGCCAAGCCTCTTGTATACTGGACGTTGCTAGGAGAGCGCAGGAGCAAGCGATAAGAAAGCAGAGAACAGAGAGAGAACCAACAAAGAGCTTTGATGTGTTTTTAAGTCTCCTGGGGCGTGTCTCCCAGGAGGAGGGCTTGGTCCCTCTGAGGTTTCTGTGTTTTAACTTTAATAAGGTCTTAAAGTCTATTTGCGCATGTTTTAATCTAGTACCTTTCCACAATATTAACACTTGTACAGTTCTTAGTTTTAAGCATTTATATAAAACAAAAAAAAAAAGCTAGACTGTTATTTGTTCTTAATTCGAAAACTGTTGGCTCTACATGACGCAATTTAGAATACTTACAGTAGGAGCAAGAACAGCTTAACTACGTACTTCCACTTTAATATTGGCTGTTCCATGTTTTACTTATTCATATATATATATATGAAAGCTTTTGAACATGACATTCGTTAAACAGGAACACGGGTAGTGATATACTTGATTCTTATATTTGTATAAGGAGAAAGTTTAAACAATGGCATGTTATGACTCTTTGGTCCTCTTGGGGATTCTGGTTTCATGAAAGGAGACTGAAAGTCACTTAATTACTTAAGAAATTATTATTTAAACTTTAAATTCAATCCTTTGCCCAAGAGCTGGGGAAATTAATTAGGTAACACAGGATAGTATTTCTGTACCGTATCATTTCTCCATTTTCACATTTGTCCTTTTGGTACATAGATTTTGCCTGTATAGGGAATTATTGGGTGTCTCTTCAAAATCACAGTCTTTTTAGCTTAGTTTTGATTTTATGACCGCAGAATGGAGTCGTCTCAGTTCCACACTCATGTGTGAAGAGTAAGCAAAGGGGGACCCTTTCCTTTGATCTGTGGCTGTGTGTGTGATGCAGATCCAGTTTGGCACTTAGTTTATGTCCATAGAGGTCCTGAGAGCCTGGTTCAGGGTGAGGTTAGTCTCTGGACTAGGTAAATATTGTCATTTTAATAGTCATGCGTAGATTTATCTCAACTTCACTGGAGATGGCGGGTTTTATGGTTGAAACTTGCCAAACAGCAGTCAGAGTGGAAATAAGAAGTGTTTTATGTAGCAAACCTTTCACCCCCCTTCTTTTGGGGTGTTTAGCGCCTGGAGTTGGCCAGTCTGCTTGACGGGTGATAACTTAACCCCTTTCTCTTAGAGAGAGACAAAGAGATGTTAAGATGTTCCTTTTGGCATAAAAATAATTAGTGTCAACTGGTAGTTCTCTACACTACCCTCATTCTATGGGCAGAGAAGTGCCGTGCAACACATGAATTCAAAACAGAAGTTGGGGATTTATTGCATCAGAACTATCGTGCTATCTCTGCCACATAAATGTCACTGTGTCACGGAAGAAGGTTGTTTGTATTACATTACATTTTCTCATAGAGGTACATGGCAGACGTTTTTATCTAAAGCGACTTCCATTTGTGGAACGACATAAAAGCATCAACAAGGCATCAATACAACATGAGATCTACAATATCTACATCTACAATACACTGTAATAATGACAGCAATAAATACTAGAAACAGCTAATAGCATGTATCGCATCAATGGGGTAATACCTAGGGAAAGAAGTAAGAGTTAACAAAAAGTGCAATCAATAAAGGAGAATTGTAAGAGGATAGAAGAAGAAGAGCACAGGAAGTGCATGTTAGAGGTTAGGGGTTAGAGGTGAGAAAGTGTTGTCTGAAGAAATGAGTTTTCAAGAGCTTCTTGAAGTTAGAGAGGGACGCCCCTGCTCTGATGGCGTGTGGTGGCTCATTCCATCCATTGTGGTGTCACAGATGAGAACAGCCAGGACTGGAATTGCTTTGTGTGTAGGGATGGCAGAGCCAGGCGGCGTTCGTTGGAGGAGCGCAGTTGCCGAGAAGGAAAGTAAGATTGTATTATGGAGTTTAGGCAGATGTGTGCAGACCCAGTATTCACTCTGTATGCAAGCATTAGGCCCCATCCACACTACTGCGTTTTTGGAATTAGACCTTTTGCTACGTTTGCACCTCCCGTCCAGACTACAACGATGAAAACAAAGACCTATAACGGAGAAGTTTGGAAATGCTGCCGAACCCGTTTAGCATTTCAAAACTCCGGAGGGCATTTTAATGAAGAAGGGCTAAAACAGAGGACTTTGGCATCGATGACGCAGCCGCTCACCCTCGGCTCTCTGATTGGGTCTTGCAAAGCAGAAACACAATGCTGCTGACCGGGCTTTTGACATCATATTTTTATTTAAATATTCTGTACCGTGCAAATAACACTCATCTGCCTACACTTGTACTGTGCATGTTGCCATTTAATCCCAGTCTGTTTTCTGACACCACACTCCCGTGTTACATTCAGGAACAGTCCCAGCTCGTTATTGATCCATGCAACAAAAAAATAAAATAAATGGTCTGATGCTCAGTCTGTATTTATTTATTCTTTCGGTGGCTCTTGATGCAATGACCCCAGCCTTCAGTCCACTCCTTGTTAAGCTCCCCCGAGTTCTTGAATCGGCTTTGCCTGACAATCCTTTCAAGGCTGATGTCATCCCTGTTGCTTGTGCACCTTTTCCTACCACACTTGAACTTTCCTGTCAACTTTCAATGAATGTTTTGATCCAGCTAGCTAGCCCTATCAGGAATGTTTTTTTGTGGCTTACCCCCTTGTGGAGAGTGTCATCGAGTGTCTTCTGGACAATGATTAAGTCAGAAGTCTTCCCCATGACTGAACCAGACTGAGAGAATACAGGCTCTCCTCAGGTCAACATTTCTGTATTATACATTATTTATTTTAATGTTTTTAATTTTTAGAAACATGTATTTTTGATCACCATGAGATGCAAGCCATAATCATGAAGACTGAATTATTTCATTTAATGTGTAAGGAATCTAGAATATAATGAAAGTTTCATTTTTTAACTTAAATTACAAGGGGGAAATGAACTTTTCCATGATATACCAAAATTTCTAAGAGACACCTGTATACACACAGAAAAATGCAGACACTTTCTTTTCAAAAATGTGCATGTTTTGCAAAGGTTTGTGCTTCCTCATTTACATTTATTTCCTCATGAGTTTAACAGTTTATACAATCATGGCTGTTGGCCCTTACATTTATTGCCTGAGCATGTGAACCTCCATCACTGTTTCCTACAAATATATTTATATATTATAATCTTCCCAGTTATGTTGAGATAACAAATGCACCTGGCTGCTAAGTGATCGCTAAGTCCCACTTAGTTATGCTTGCTACGCTGGTCAAGCTTCCCATTCTCTAATGGTTCATATGCAGTGATAAATGCATCTGCTGATGGAAATTTGTTGTACATAAATCAAGTTTGTAGGAAGCAGTGGCATCTGCTTAGCTCTTAGGTTTTACATATTTCAGAATCCTTCTTAAAGGCCTTTCCTTTCATTTTATGCACATTAGCTACTGTTACATACATTAATGTATATACATACATACCTACATACATACAATATATTTACAAAACTAATAAATGATATATCACAATAAAAACATCAACACACATAACATTGCACCTGATTCACAGACAATATCACATCTTTAGGAGTCATGGCCATGTTTCGATTCTCCATTTCTTCTGTAACCAGTGCATAAAGTGGGCCGGTCCTCTGAAAACTACAGTAAGGATATTACATAGCACCTGATTCACAGACACATTATAAAACGAAATACTGAACAATTCTAATGACAAAACACTGAGATGAAACAACACAATAACTCAAAACCTATCTAGTACAATAGATAGCTCTACGTAAATATATCAGCTCCAAGTGGTCTAAAGTGATCAATAAGGCAACAGATATCCTTTAATAGTTCTTTCCATCAATATCACATCTTTAGGAGTTATAGCCATGTTTCAAGCGTGTACATAAAGTTGCTCATCAAGGTCACTTTCTATGAACCGACCAATCACAGCCTGTATGGGGCAGAAAATTAAAATAAAGGTTGACATGTTGCAGCAAACTTTTGAATTGTTCAACTTCTGGTTTGTTGTAGTGGCGTAATATAAGAAATGAGTTTTATTTGGGGAGACAGTTGAATTGTTGTATCCCAACTTATAAGCTGTTACACTTACTCTATAAACAATATTTAGCAAACTATCCAAATGAAGTGTAACCTATAGATATATTAATATTATATTAACATTAAACATTTTATTTAATGTTATAATATTTAATAATATACTAATTTATACTAGTTTGGCCTCCAGGTTGTGGAAATTGCATCTGCA